ACTCATCTGGTCCTATCTCTATTGTGTTGTCATAGAAAGGGGAGGCAGGGCACTATAGGGCCCCCCCCCCCCCTAAATTCACTAGAAGTCATCATTTAAGGGGTTATTTTTAAAACTTTTCTTCTGGGGGGGGCATACCCCCCCAGACCCCCCTATTAGTGCTCGGTCACTGTTCGCTTTGTGAGAGGGTTTGAAGGTCTAATTTCTAATGATTGATAGTTACACATACTTGTGGTATGTATTAGTTTTGTTTGCCCCTGGTACGTAAAAAGGATAATAATAGCGTTTTTTTTAATTATACTGAGTTATTCTTCTTGTCAGGAACCGCTACTATTCGTTTGTTTTATGGATTTGGGCCGGTCTGGGTCTAAATGCCAGGGCTGATTTGCTGTCCCAGTCCAGCCCTGGGGACGGCCCTGATTATATGAATACTTTCGTGACGTTTTGCTCTCTCAAAAGTTGGGCCATTTTGTCTTCATGCGCCAATGAGCAACTCTCATAGGAATGAACGAGGCCCCGCCTCCCACGCTGTATCCAGTTCTTATTATACATCCATGAAATGAAGCCGCTGACGTCACTTCTTCTTCTGCTTTGGGTTTACTGGCAGGCTGCAAACAACTTCACGGCGTATACTGCCACCTGAAGTCCCCGGCCGGAAGTCCCCGGAGTTGGGGACTGGCTTCAGTAGAAGCTGCTGGGACTCCCAGCAGCTTCTACTGAAGCCTTCCGAGTAAATTGGCAGAACGCCGACACCTCCTCATCACTCCACCGCTCCAATGTTTTTTTTTGTGTTGTCATAAGTAATTCTCTCTCCGTTGGTGCGCGGGGCTAATGCTAATGCTAATAATGCTAATGCCAGCAAATGCAATGGCGGCTTCAAAAAACCTTTCCGAGTTTCACGGGGCGTGGTTTGCAATTCGCCCAGCCAATCAGAAATTGGAACTGTTTTCTCCCCAGGAAAGTACCACCTCTCTAGCAGGCACTAAAAAGGGGGTAAAAGTTCTCATGAACTAAGTTATCTTTTTGGTGTGAACGCAAAATCCCAGGAACTATCGGAACTAAACGGGAAAAGTATGGGGAAAAGTACTCCGGTGTGAAAGCGCCTATTATTTCATCATGCAGCTTGGACACATGACACCAATGTAGACGTTTTACCAAATTATAATAATAACGTTGTTATTAAATAAATGTAGGGTTTATTTGAAAGCTTATGCCACAAGCATAATGATTAACTATATTAACCAGTATTTAATTAAATAGATAGTATATATTACGGTGCAATTCATGAAAAAATAATAATAATTACAATCCATAAACCCAAGTTATGAACATGATTTTAGCCAAAATAATACACTCCGTCTGCCACACATACAAGACAACCAAATATTTGTTTTTGCTCACAATAAGGGAACTCCTCCTGCTGTGATTGGCTGATTATGCTCACAAAAGGCGGGGTATTTACTGACAGTGGTGTCAGTCACAACCAGTGTGATCCAGGTTAGGTTTGTTCCACCCAGTCTTATACACACCTAATCCTCCTACAACCAGTCCTGTTAGTCACACACGCCTGCAAATGATTTCTCAAGAGAACTCAAACCAGGGCAGAAGTGGTTTGCCTTTTGTGCACACTGAATATCTTTTTCCTACAGGTTTAACTGCGAACCTAAGTCTTAGTAATGCGTGAGTGTAGAGACCTTTTTCTTATATACATACATGTAGTTATAGGCAATTCTGCTCTGTGTGTTTTGAGGGCTTGTAAAACAAATACACGTTTATTATTACATATGAAATAATAATATTACAGTGACACTTGTCTAGATTTGGCATGAACTTTTCTTCACTTTTAAATCTGACTTTTTCTCCATTGACACATTGTTGACCTTCTGAACCCAACCCTAAGCCTCAACAAGCTCAGTCAGTACTTCGACCTCTTAGTCAATGTTTTATTTTAAAGTAAACTTAACGGAGAACGGCATCAATATCATACAAATGTGTCAATGTCCTTGTACTTGTATTCTGAAAAACAAAAAGAAAAAAACCTTGTTGTGATGAAAAAAATTAAACTTCCTGCAAATCATTGTAATGACAGAACTCCTACAACCTTATACGTCCTCACGGTCACTGAGGTCTGCTGACAGATTCCTCCTTGTAGTCCTGAGGTCGAGGTTGAAACAGCAGGGAGACAGGGCCTTTTCTGTAGCTGCTCCCAGGCTGTGGAACCATCTGCCCCCCCCGATCAGATTTGCTCCCACTTTGCCTGTTTTTAAATCCCCTTTGAAGACCCACTTATTCTCCCGTGCGTTTGCAGACCACCTATAAGACATGTCAGTCTGTGCTTTTAAATTGGGGTTTTATATTGTTTTTACGTCACATATGAGAGTTTTCAGTCTGAAAGTATGGTTTAATTGTCCTGTGCTTTACATTTGTTTTATGTCCTATCTTTTTGTTTGCTTTTATAATATATATATTTAGTGATGACCAACTCTGTTGTTTTTAAATGTGCTACAGAAATAAAGTTTTCTTGCTGATTACTCGCTGTTTAACAACAATCTTATCTGGTTAGCTTCTTTTCTGGGATAAAAACAGAAAACACACACTTATATAGACCCAATGAGATAAAGGCAGGGCTGCAGTCAATGATGGGCAAAGTTTCTCCTTTGGATGTTAGGTCTTCTCAGAGTGGATATGGATGACCATTTAATTTGCGTTAAATCACGTTAATCTTTTTGCCTACCCACTCTTTGTCTCAGGAACTAAAGGGAGTGGCAACTGTGTTGGAGGTCATTTTGAATAAGTAGATGTTTATACGAAACACCAAAATGCAAAACTATTGAGAACAGTTTTGAAGATCTAAGACCAGTGTGTTTATGGTAAACCATTTACCATAAATCCTGTAGGACAGCGATAAATGCAACACTATCATAAGATTTCAAGCATTGAAACTGAATTATGCATAATAGTAGTGAGTAGTGCTTTGGGTGCAAAATAAGTAGCAAAACATTTGAACAGTTCAGGCAGATAATGAAATGAACTACAAATAGAAATGAATGGTAAACTGTAGCAATCTGCTTAAAACTTGGTTATACTATAGATTGTACAAACTCACAGGGATTGATTACATTGCAAATATTACAGGCATAATTGACTCCATGATGCTTTGATCTCCTCACGCCTTTATCATTATAACAGCCTATTCTCTTTTCTGGAGGATTTTTTATTTTGCGTATTACTTTTAAGGCTCATCATGACTTGGCTTCAGACTATATTTAAAGCTTTTAATCCCTTATGAACCATTGCATAGTTTGAGACTGCTGGCAGACAAAATAAATGATGCAATATGCTTTTTTCTTGATTATCATGAATACAAATGTGTTTCTAATAGGTTACTAAGAGTCACAGTGCAGTGAGTCAGCATGTATTATACCATAAATAAAATACAATGTAAATGAATGAGCAAAGGTATAAATAACTTCATTACATGTTATCTCTCTTTCTGTGTCTTGTCTCTGTCTGAGATGTGTGACTAGTTTGACCAATGTTTTTTTTTTTTTTAAACCAAAAGATATTTGAGTTTAATAACTCAAAAGCTAATAGAGCTCACTAGCCAAATCAAACAGCAAAATGAAAACAACTCTCTTAAAAAAGACAAAAATATAAAAAGGTTCGATGGATCAAACCTCCTAACACTTTTAGAAACACTCACACTGCCATCTACTGTAATGTTGTAGACATTGCTGAGGTCGATAAGACAACACTCACATATGGCAGAAGTGTTTTTACTTTAAAATCAGCTGCTGCTTTAAAGCGCATGTAAACTGTTAGACATGCAGGTATATTTCTATATTGTGTGCCAAGCTGCTTTTCTCTTCTCCTCTGGGCCAGCATGTAAGCGTTCGGCAAGTTGAGATTGGTGTTTGAGAACGTTTTAGAAGATGTGCTTGCTCCATTGTAGCTTTTGTATTGTTTACTTTTGTCACTTTCTTTTTTTAAAGAGGACATTATACTATTATTCAGGTTCAGTCTGCTCTGATTGATTAGCTGACTGGCTTTTTTGTGATTGGTCAACCGCTTAGAGATGTCCCGCCTCTTAGCCTATCATGTACAATGTTGAGTTGCCAATAGAAGTCTTACATTTTGATGTCACTATGAAGGTTTCTCATTTCTCTAATTTCCCCTCCTCGACTCCTCGGGGGGAGGGGAATATATCCAGTCTCTGAGTGCTCTCATACTTGTTTGATTCTGAAATTGTATATATTTATATAAATATATATGTCCGCATCTGTAGCCTGTTATTGTCTCATTATACCGCACTGTGAATGAATTCAAAGTACATATATAAGTCGTCATGAACACATCTGTCCATCAGACAGAGGGCTGTGCCTCCTGTCATCATTAATGGACGTCTCTTTAAAATGACCGCTCTAAACGCCTGCTGCTTCCACTCCTCTCTACTCGACTCCTCCGCTCGCATCTCCTGTGGGCGGGACTAAGACACGAGGATAGGAGTCGAGGAGGGGAGTCGAGGAGGGGAGTCGAGGAGGGGAATTAGAGAAATTAGAAACCTTCTATGTTCCGGAAGTAAACAAAGGAGTCCAATGGAGGCTTTTCAGGTGGGGGGGAGTGTGGAGGGAACACAGGGATTTGAGCCTTTGCAGACCATTTACATGCAAAGAAAAACCCTATAGAACACACTACAGAGTGTACACTACCATTATCATTCATATCACATCATAATGTATCATATATTTCCTTATCTGAGTCAGCTTCTGGAGCCGTATCTGGCCGTGCAACACTTACAGTGTCACATACTGTATGCAGAAGTATTATTTTAAGCAACACATTAAGTTGACGAAACACTCGAGTCAAATGTAATTAAAGCAGCAGCTGATCTTAAAGTAAAAAACCTTAGCCACATGTGACCCTCCACCCTCCTTCCAGCAATGTGTACAAACGAACAGTAGATGGCACTCTGGCAACAAGAACAACGACAGCAAGGGAAGTTACAAAGTAATTCAGATTTTAATTCCATGTCATGATACGTAAATGAACACACAGTGACACATGAAATCACAGTTAAATGCAAATGCACACATATTTATGTTTACTCTCAGTCAGGGTTTAAAAAGAACACTACATCTCTTTTACATTTTAAGAATAACTTTTCTGCAATTGAGTCTCATTATAATGCTGATGGGACAATGGAGTTAATGTTCTTTATTTATTTATTAAGTTTTGGGATTTAACAGTCAATATTGTCCACAGGAACAGTGGACTGCTCAATGGAGATTTCTTCTCTGCGCTTCTGACGGTTCTCAACAAAAAACCTTATCACAATGATAAAAACTGCCAGGGCCACGATAACAGTGATCCATATCCAGACCAAACCCCCAGCAGGCGCAGCGGCACCCTGCTGTGTGTGATTATTGGTGGCTGGTTTCACAACACCTATGACGACAGGACTTGTGACAACAAAACGTTCCCCGCCTTCTGCTTTGACACATTTACCGTGATCTTTCAGTATATATCCTTCTTTGCAGGAACACACAAAACTCCCAAAAGTGTTCTTACACACTTGGTCACATTCATGAACACATTCATCCATGTCCTCGCACAGTTGGTTACTTAGTATAAAGCCTTCGGGACAGAAGCACCTGCTATTAGGTTCTCTATCACATATCGGGGGGCATTTCTGTTGCCCGCAGTGCATTTTGCACCGCCCGGGGTCTTTGTCGTCTTGGATATATCCTGTAAAACAGGAACATATATAACCTCCCTTTCTATCTTTGCATGTATGCTCACAAGGACCAACTGAACAGCCTTTAGAGCTCAGGATAACATTCGGATCTGACAGTTGTCCCGCCTGGCATGCATCTTTGTGCTTTGTTCGGCACAGAAAACCATCCGCTTTGTCCGAGCACAGCCTCTCTGTCAACTTTCCATCCTTTGAAAGTGACACACAGTGCAGAGAGCAGACTTTAACACTCTCTTTCCAGCTGCTGACGGATGGAAGAAAGGTCCTTTGCATACTACCAGAGGTCCACTCATAGCCTCTCAGTGGAGCTGAGAGGTTGCTGCAGGCGGCAGCGGGTAAATGCAGTCCAATCCAGAAGTCTCCATACAGTTCATCTCTGAAAATGTCAAGAGTGCTCTCATCTGCCTCTGACTGAAATGTCATTAATGCCCCGTTCCTGTCGCAGCATGTTTTCTCAGCTGTCTGGAAATCCACTCTGTCTTGGTTTACAGTTATGCAGTCATTCCCTGTACAAAAAGGCCTACAGACACCAGCCTGATTAATGCTAAATCCTGTCTTAACAGACAATAAAAAAATCACTGACATCAAAAAAGACATTTCCACTACCCTCACTGGCACAAAAGCAGTCATTTGCGAGCAGGGAATGATGTTCTGCAGTAGATCATCTTATAATGTTGGCTGAATATTCTGTAGAATGTAGAGCATGGGGCTTCCTACTCAGGAAGCAACACCCCTCAGGACAATGAGAGAGTTAAAGACAGGAAGGAAGTGAGATAAAGTTGGACTACTGGCTTCTCTCCAATGTTGGTGAAGGCCAAGGATCATTAACAGCAAAAACAGGAAACAAACCATACTCATAATTCAGAATGAACTGTTCTCTTGTCTCATAGCCTAATCCTATTGAGTACATACTCAGATGTACATGTTTTCATCATTACAGTATATTTACACCAGCATCAAACTGTATGTGTAAACTATATTCAGCTAGTAAAATGACAAATCAGTAATTGAACAGGCAGTGGTAGACATATGACTCAAACACGTATGGTAATAAAGCATAAAATGTAGCCAGTTAAAACTACATCCTGCTACAACTTATTCCCTCAAATCTTTCTGGGAACATCTGGCACCCACCCAACTATCAGTTTTACACACAGTTTTTCTTCTTAGATACAGCCCCTAACCCCCCTCCATACTGGAACAGCCTTTTTGTATCACCTACACATGTTTACACTTTGCTACTTCTTGCCAAATTCACCACATTTTTGCTCTATTTTTACTCTATTAGCTACATTGAAAAACTTCTGGTGGGCAATGATGTTTTTACTGATCTGTTATCTGATATGTAACCATTTCCAACCATTAGCCTAACCAAGAGAGGTCGCAAGAACATAAATTACATAAATAAACATGGGAATCCATGTAGTCAGTGTTCTCCATCATGCTATAGGTCATCAGTCAAGATCGACTCGTAGAGTTTCTCTAAACGCGGATCCAAACCAGAGGACACCCAACAGTAGCCATCGGTAGTTGTATTTTTCTTGGCTTCTTTTTTGGACCGATTGCAGCGAATAATTGCAATAGCCATTGTCACCGCGACCAAAAGCAGCAGAGGAATGACTGAACCAAGGACGCAGACGATCACCCTGGAATTGACAGACTCAGCCAAACCTGTCACTGATGATGCGTTGTTCTGCTGATCGTCCGGCGGCAGTGATGTTGCTGTCACTTCCTGAGCGCAGGTTGATCCGTCAATCTCCAGGTAGAAGCCTTTCGGGCAGGTGCACCGGAAACTTCCGATGGTATTGAAGCATTCAAACTGACAGAGACTACTGACGCATTCATCAATCTCCTCACACGAATGGTCATCCTCGGATAAACTGAAGCCTTCATTGCAGTAACACGAGAAGGATCCAATACTGTTCAAGCAGCTGTGTTCGCATCTTCCTTGCACACACTCATCCATATCAACGCAAGTACCGACAACCATTTTGTAGCCGCTTTGACACGTACAAGTGTAACTTCCGTGTGTGTTTACGCACACATGATCTTCACAGGTCTGTGACTGGCACTCATCTACGTCAGAGCAGTTCTGCTGGTTTGCATCCAATCTGAACCCATCTGGACACTTGCAAAAATACCCAGACTCCGTCGTCACGCACTGATGCTCACAGGTGCCAACGCCGCACACATCCTTCACCCTGCAAGTGAATCCATCGTCATCCAGGTCGTAACCTTCTTTGCACAAGCATTTAACCTCATCTGCTTCCTGGTGGCACAAATGTTCACATCCGCCGTTGTTTATTTCGCAGTGTTCCTTTCCTGTTTTGCAAAATGGACCAGGAACAGTCCAACTATAGGTGTCGTCCGTCCCCATGCACACAGAGTATTGGGACTGTTGCTCACTACATGAAAAAACAGCATATGTTCCAAGTGGAAATGATTCCATTTCACTTCTTTGTGGCTTTTCTGAGAAGGGAGCTGTGTAGGTTATTTCTCCAGGCCCCAACAAATCCAACGGTTTGCACATCCCCTTGAAATAAAACTTACACGCATAAAAAGCAGGGCTTTTGCATGTTCCGTCAACCCATTTCAGTTGGTTCTGACCTGATTCGGTGTAAGGAATTTTTACGCATCTCTCTTTGCATGTTTCGACAGGTTCTCTTTCCCAGTTGGAGTAGTTGGAATCTTCCTCCCCAGACACCCACTTAAACCCCTTCAGAGTCTTGTCAGGCAGCACGCAGTCCTTTTTGTGCAGTTTTAATCCAATCCAAAATGTAGATGCCCTGTCCTGACTTTTTCTTTGGATCCGTGAGAGAAGCCGACGGAGCACATCCTCTTCTTCCCGGTCTCTCACTGTCATCACGTAACCTCCATTGTGGTCACAGTTCTGAACGGCCTTGTCAAAGAGTACCTTGTTCATGTGCAGGGTGAAGCAGGCGTTGGAGGTGCACAGCGTCTCATGTTCAGCTTCAGAAAGCCCAGCAAAGCTGCCGATGAGCTGCAAGAGAAAAATCCACAACATCTTCGCCATACAGATCAACAAATTAGCTGTAACATCCAGAAGGTCCCGGGGAGCTTTTCTGGGGAAATGCAATAAATATGTGGTGGTCCATTCGTAGCCAAAAACGAGTGGTGAGGGTCTGAGACTAACATTCATGCTCATGCATCCTGTTTGGGACACAAACTAAAGACGGAAACCATGTTTAGCTGCAGCTATGGGTTCTTTATCTCTCCCCCGCTGACCAGTTCCGTTTTGGAAGAAAAAACAATGGCAGGCTCCGCTGTGTTATGACTGCGTCTCCAGATGTCTCCGGCCCCAGCAGACTTTTCGCATTTTAGCTGACTCCCTTGATTGTGGGCCCTCACAATACATGCACATGCAGGGGTCACAGTGAATGATGCACAATAGCTGCAAGAGATCATCTGTGACCTTTGCCACTATGCTGTCTATCCAGGCAAAGATAATAACACACACACACACACACACACACACACACACACACACACACACACACACACACACACACACACACACACACACACACACACACACACACACACACACACACACACACACACACACACACACACACACACACACACACACACTAGTTGTGTGTCTTTTCAGTATTGCACACACAAAAAACAACACAAAAACAAAAAAACAACGACTAAACAAAGAAAGACCAATACAAAAATAAAGGTTACCTTTTGATCACTCTTCAATGCTTCAGACATATCCTAATTTTCCAAAAAAAACAAAAATAGCAACAGTCCACGAATTGTTTGTCCGGTGAAAGAAAAGTACATTTTAGGAACTTTTCAGAATTAGGAAATTATAATATTATATATAATTTGTGTGTTATGCTTCTTTATAGATTACATGCTGCTCTTACATGGTCTGTTTGACTGTCAACATGAATATAAAAAATAATGAAACAAAACAATCACATTGGAAACCCTTGACAGTAACTCAGAAAGTATTTAAAAAGCCACATTGACATTTCGATAGATTAAGATTCTCTGTCACAGTGTAATTATACAGCAAGATATTAAAAAGAGACAACATAGAGACAACGTATTGCATAGTGACAGTCATTACAATGATGAATCGGATTCACCAAAAATCAGTTGTGCATTGCATAAAGGTCCCTGAAAAGAATGTCAGTGAGTGAGATAGGATAATCAATCAGTCTGAGCCCCTCCCTCAGCTCTCAGATAACATGAGTGAGATGTTGCATATCTTGCTTGCATACAGCTAGGTGTTGTGGGACTTGTCTTCAATGGCAAATTAATCTGCATCAACTCTTAACTCATGAGGCAGGAGGCTCTGCTTTCATTTGAGCAACACTCAATTTCTATTGCGCATCCCTGTGTTGTACAGTAATAATAAAAACTTTTATACAATAGGCCCTAACTATGAATAATGGTGAGTGATGTACAGGAAAATGCAGGAGCTCATATATAATGTAATGACTGCAACTTATTGTTCTATGTGCTCTTTTTAATTAATCAAATAAATGTAATAATTAACTCAATCAATCAAGGTTCTTTTAAAAAGTAGTTTTATTTCTCCTCATATTTAACTTAAATAAGTATACAAAAACTACTACATATTGTTTTCCCCTTGCATCTATAAACTCACTGCTTTGCTTTGCTTTTTTTTTTTAAATCATTTTGGATTTGGGTACATCTGTGTATCACTTGTGTGTTAAAGTAGCCTGGAAGTACTGATTTGGATGGCAAGCAAAGACAGGTGATTCATGTGAATTCAATCCAGGCAACATTTCCCGTATGCGGTAAACACAGGAAATGCCCCAACTACAATCACAGGAAGAGTAGTAAGACAGGCGCCACTCTCAGGACAGGAAGTGACGATTCTGACAAACTCAAATGACACTATGGAGGAATGTAACGGGAGTTGACAGGGGACTCTGCCCGCCTCACAAGTGCCTATTTTTGGACACTTTTTTTTCCCATTTTTTTTTTGGCCATTTCACCCGGTTCCTTCTACCGGGGCCACTGCCCGGTCCCGGGTGCCCCCCCACGGCCTGTGTCCAGCCGTTTCCCCCCTCCACTCATCCATATTTGAACAGATTTTGACAATTTTTGTTGCATTTTTCTCCTCTCCTCTCACTGAACGACCCACCATCGGAGGGCCTCCGCCGGCCTGGCCTCGTGCCGGTGCTCTGGCGGTCGGTTCCTCCGAACTGCGGGTTCGACTCTGGCCAGGAGGGTGTGCTGCGTGGGGTGGGGGACTTCCCCCACCCTGCGTGTCAGACAATACCAATACCAATACCAGACAATTCAAATGTCGTGCTGTGCGGTTGAATTAACAGAACTTCCAAGAAGTCTAAAATGATAATATTATACATGTTAACCCCGTTAGCAGGTGTTTGTGTGCTTGTTAGCTTAGCTTGTTATATACAGATGTAGCACTCCAGATAGGACTCCACCCAGCGGATTCCAACCGAAAACCCAGCGGATCCCAGTGACTGGGAGATTAAAGCCCTCCCACTATTTCCTAAGAGGGCGTTGCCAAATTTCCCCATTTGTTCAATTTCAGGATTTAACCATGAGATGGCGCTTCATTCACAAATACACAAAGACAACTGGGTGTTGTAGACCTTAGTCTGTTTGCAATGTTTGCAGCTCTGCAGTTGTGTTTGCTGAATACTGTATCATTTAATCACTTATTTGTTATGGTTTTCACAGGCTACTATAACGAAAAAACATCAATATTTTAGATCAAATAAAGTATATCTAATCTTATTATCTTAATTGTAATTCAATAATATATAGTCTTTATATATTAAATAATCATAATAATAATGTAAATGTTTACACTTCTTTATTTTTTATGCTCATACTTTTACCTTTACAATAGTTTGCTTTAATATGCAGTATTTTTTTTGTAATATTGTTGTGGTGTTTTTACACAGTACAGTAGATCGAAGTAAATCAACTTATACATTAAAGGAGAGGTGTCATGCTTTTCCGGTTATTACCCGTCCCCTTGTGTGTTATCAAGGTTTTTATGCATGTAAACGGTGTGCAGAGTCAAAACCCTCAAAGTACACCCTGTAGCGAGTAAAACTCTAACACAGAAAATACCTCCCCAAAACGCCTCGTTGGAGATACGTCATTGCCCATTTGAGTCTTCCATTTCGTTCCGGGTACGGCATGATGTCAAGCGGTACCCGGAGCGAAATGGACCAATCCGTGGAGCCGTTACGTTACGTCCGCGGAGCCGTTACGTTAAGCCCCCGCTTATTGGTCCAAATTGACCGATCCACGGACTTCCTCACACACACATCTGTGTGCAGGGAGCAGGCAGCTCAGCTGATGCGGCATATATTGAAGGTGTTCAAAGTTGCACCGATATGAGGCGCAGTGAGAACCACGCACCTGTCAGACTAGCGAATGTGCACATTTAAATTTCAGGAGAATAATGAAGATGTGATTGGTTGTTCCACTCTCCGTTTCTCACGAGACCAGCGCGCTGCTGTTTACATTAGTGTGGACTGGACCGACTGAAACTGACGGCAAGGTTAATTATTGTGGAAGGATGGACCCCCATCCTGCAACAAAAAAAGGCATCGAAATGTGCTAAAATCACTGATTTATTCAGAACCCCCGTATGGTATAGAACAGGGCTCTCCAACACGTCGATCGCGAGCTACCGGTGGCTCGCGGGCAGCTTTTCAGTAGCTCGCCGCTCGATTATCAATTATAGCGTAGTAAGGTTTGCTTCTTGATTTTTCGGCCGCGGCTGGACAATAACGTTTTTTTATTTTAGAATTGTTTCTGTCACACGAATATCAAATTGGTCGGTGACGCAGAGATCAAGGAACAGACGTGACAGCGGCACAGCGACACCACACACGGGGCAGTCTGCTTTCTCCACCAACACCAGTCCAGAACCAACAGCAGAATGACCCGCTCTGAATCAGGCCCTGTCGCTGCGGCTCAGAGACACACAGGGAGGGATTTGTGTTTTTTGAAAAACACTCGTTATCGTCATGTCAGGTTTTTGGTGGATTTAATTGTCTTGGATTGCAGAGTATGAATGTCCTCTTGCTATTTTCAGTTGATAAATACGTAAAGTTTGTGAAGGCAGGAGGAAAGCTTCCGCGATCACCGTCTCCTCTCAGTTCCTCCAAACCCCGCCCCCTCCCTGAAAATAATGAGTGACAGGCTGACAGTGACCCGATAGAAACTTTATTATTCACTTAATCACTGATTGAGATATGATGAAGCTAACTTAATCTCATACATTCATGGGATTTATGTAACAGTAAAACAGAGAATATAAGTGTGCACCCACATGCACTATTTTAGTTTTTATAATGCTGTTGTAAATACTCCTGTTGTCTGCTGTGTTCAGACTCAAGTCATGTGTGTGATGCCACATTCAGGACATTCAGTGTCTTTTTTTTAACAGAAGAAAAGAAGCTGCAGCTAGACTGCAGAAGTATTAGTTTTTTGTTTATGAGGATGGAACAATTTCACACACAGATATAGGGAGGCTAGACCTATACAGTTGATTTATTATGGTTTATAATTTCATGTCAAGACAAAGAAGAAGAAGAAAAAGAAGAAGATGGCTGAACTGTTCAGTGTCAATCCTGTGGAGATGGAGGTTATAAATCTCCAAAATAATGTTCAGCTTAAGTCTCAGCAAAACTCACAACATTTCTGGAGCCTTGTAGACCCAGAAAACTACAATAACATTCGCAAGCAGCACTGAACATGTCTGCTTTATTTGGTTCTGTTCTACATACCTTTGTGAAGCAGCTTTTTCTGACATGAATGAAATCTAAATACAGAACAAGAATGACTGATGAACATTTAAATGACTCTATTAGAGTGAACCTAAGTGGGTACACTCCAGCATACACCTGTATGGTGGACTCATGCAGTGCCATTCATCTCACTGACTGTACAAAAGAGTGAATGCACTTATTTTATACATGTGCCATAAGATGCTTGTCAGGTGGTGATTAAGGACATTATGTGAATTTTCAGTGATGTACTTACTATGAGGGCCATAATAATATGTGCGACATTTTCGTTTTCTTGGACCTTCATGTGAAGTGATATGTGAATACATGTAAGCGATGTGATGCAAGTAGCTCTTGGCCACTTTCAT